TTATGTGTAATGAGACTTCGAAAGAAACTAATATGAAAGAAAACCTGGTTACCGTAAAACCAGGGCTGAGTTTCGGGCGTACTTAAGTGGTAAAATTTCAGAAACACGCATGTCCAAAAATGTAAACGAAGATTTTCGCTTTTTGGATGAACAAATGAAGTGCTGGAAGCAGGAGTTCTTTGGACAAATGATTGTCTGTGGAATTATTGGAGAAAAGGAGACAAGAAAAACTTGATGTGTATAAAAAATCTAGTAGCAATGTAACAATATTTTCTAAATACGTGATATCCGATATCCTCCTTCTAAAATACAAACGAGCCCACAAGTTTAGTGAATATGTTTGTGGAAGTTGATTGAGAGCGCAAGTACCTGAATATAGGAAAATATAAGAAGAAACATATACATAACTTTTGCCTACGTCAATGCCCTACCAAGGCTTTCATGCGAGGAACTTAAGGCCGGCTTCCTTTAAATACCTTTTCATTGATCGGTTTTCGAAGAGCCCAATCTACAACTGCTGCAAATCGACTCCTGTCTACTGTTGCTCCAATTCAATGTCATTGGAGGAGTCGGTTAAGTAAGATATTTGCCCCTACAAGTTGTGGGTCCTGCTTCGCCGGGCTTTGAACTGACCGTAGCGGCGTAGCACAGTGGATCGAGCTAGTAGGAGAGGTTGGTAAAAATTTGGAAACTTCAAACGCTTATAACTTAGTTTATGCAAACCTTTGAGGTTTTAAAGGTGGTTTAAAAGGAGGAGGAGGTTTTAAAAGTCCGACCTGCCTCATTGACTCGATCCACTGGGCGAAGGTTCATACATTTCCTCCCGGAATTTTTTGGGATACACGCCACAACATGTTTTCCTAAAGTGTCCATAAAAGGACTCCGCCGCATTTGCCGTTCTTAGATCGATAAGTGTGGGAGCCACGGCCCACATTTCAGGAGGGCAACGTTGTAATACTCGTCTTAAAAATCGAAGTATTTCTCGGAAATTTAACAATTTCGCGATGAAAAGCAGCAATAGTTTACTTTACCGGTACAATAGGCAACGCTGGAATCAAGTTAAAGTAAAGACAAGCAAACAAAGCGCCTCCAGTTGGTGGCGCATGCGATGAACACTTAACGAATTACATTATAACGCTTAATGGATGCAACTGTTCGAGCTTGACGGATGTCCGTGTTGCATACGCACGGAGATGAAGGCGTTTTGACTCCTCGGAGAGTCACCGACTCACCGCTCAACCCGCAGCTCCGCGCGGCGGCGGGGGAAGGCGACCAGCGTGCATGACACGTGCATTGGCGCCTACAAACCTAACAGGGATACTTCATGCATTGCGTAGTGCGTGAAGTATCCCTTTAGGTTTGTAGGCGCCAGTACGCGTTTCGTTCTGGTGGCACGCCGGTCGCGGCGCTGCAGCGCAACGGCCTTACAAAAAAGCTCATTCCTGATAAAAATGTGACCCTTCGGTACAGAATATTTCTTAACCTTCCATGAAGGAATGACCTGAGGGCAAACAGCTATCAATCGAAAATCTCGCCAACGTTCATGTAATGAATAACTGCCTTGCCCTCCCTTCTATTCGACTTACACTAATGATGTCGGAGATTGTAGGTAATTACCTGCTGTAAAACTAGAAAGCAAGCAAATTGAATGTGGTATCAAAGCTTTTTACGAGTTCCAGACAATATTTTTCGCCTGATTTTTTTTTTTTCTCTTTTTTTATCCACTAAAAAAAATACCGCAGACAATTTTAGAAGAAGAAGTCTCCCACTCTCGCTTCCACAGCGACGCGACGGCGCGCGCAGCGAACTGACTTAAGAACACGGCGCGGAATAGTTACATATACAGACGTATGGTGCGAGTATGTTTTGTCCTTCAGTTTTGACATCATGATGCGCTGAGCACTATTTGTAGAGCAACTATTCGTGTCTAGGAGACGTCTTTGTAGTACAAGGGAAAAATTGAGGGTGCTCTGTCATTTTAGATCCTCGCAATACAATGATTAACTACGTCATTCGATATAATATCGGACTCTTGGTTCAAACCAAAACAAACTAACATAACCTCATGTACGAAATCTTCATTTAATTGTATTAATTTATTGAAATTCAGTCATTGACCGGTCATAAATCAATCGAAGACTCATTGAATACGAGAACTTTTGATTCGAAGAAATTTTGGACGCATTTTACCACCCTGGTGCAAAGTGCGCGAATCGGAAACAAGGTTCTGTGTTTTGTCGAATGACGTAGGTAGCTATACTAAATCACTCTATACGGACCGTCGCCGATGGTAAAGCGATAAGTGCCTGAGGATTCAAAACGCCTTCGCTCCCGTGCGTATGCAACACGGACATCTATGGAGCTTGAATAGTTGCATCCATCAGGCGTTAGCATGAAATTCGTTTAGTGTTCGCTGCATGCGATACTAATTGAAGCCGCTTGGCTTGCTTCTCTTTACTTTCATTGCAGCGGTAACGTACGCTTTCCCAGGCCAAAAATTAACAGAATATATATTGTTTTATCAAAAATCAAAAGTAAGTCATTTTTGAAATGTTAAAATAGGGCTTAACGTTTTACTTGACACATTGAATAGCCAGTCGGATCAAAATATGACAAACCTGCTACCAATTTAACACAAATTCTTATTTATTCAGAAATTTAGATCCTTTTCTACAATATTAAATATCATTTTATGGCAGAAATTAAACATTAAGTCCAAAAATTTTGAAGGGAAGACACAATGCCTTCGTCTGACCCATTCTTGGCCTAAACCATTATTTATGTGGAATCTGATACCATTTTTGCTTTTACAAATTCAGTATTATAAACGTCAGTGGAGTGGTGATCTGGGTTCGGTGATGCAGGGTTTCTTTCCTTTAAACCTCTTGATCTCCCTATTTCCCCCTTTTTTTCCGCCGTGACACTTGTCTTTATGCGATTAATTTCCAATTCTCCAGGGGTCGTTACTGCAGCTTGAACGGATATAATAGCTAAGCAAACGAAATAAAAAGCTACCGTTTACTAATCAGTTGGATCGCATTTAGCAAAAAGGGACCAGCGATTACAGTGTTGTTAAAATGTTGCTTCTTCATAATTATCTAAAAAATCTCCCAGAATAGTAAATAGTTTTGATTCCCCACCGAAAAAATTGTTAATTTGAAGGAAAACAATTGTGTAAATTTTAATATTGTACATATATTAAGTATTTTTAAAAGAAAAGGAGAAAGTTCCACAATTGTGAAAACACTGTAATAGCGCTGGTTCCTCTTTGCTAACTGCAATCCGGTTACAAGTACGTTAACATTACACTGAACGCTGACTGTTACGATTGAGGAGCAATAAAACGAACAGCACTCGAAATTGATGCCAATCATACGTACCTTCGTGGCTGTCGCACCGTAACTTTAAATGTCACTCCGCTCTTGAATATGATATCACAGTGGGTAACTGTTTCTAGGTCTGAATCAACCCCCTCCCTTTTGTTCCTTCGCAATTACTTGGTGTGCCTTCATTCCATTTGATTCGGAATTGTCTTTTTTCCCACAATCCTCAACAGCCGGAATGACACCCGACAATTTTATTCTTCATCGATCTCGGTCTCCCCGCGTCTTTAGCCTCTAATCCGTACCCTCGAGCCACTAAAATGCAATGTCTATTATCTCATCTCGCCTGTCAAATACTATATTTCTTTTAAAATTACGGTTCCCCCTGCATCCCTGCCTCGCTCTGATGGCGAGCGCTCTTGTTCAACTGCAGTGCCCGTTCATTTCCCCACTTTAAATGTTTACATTTTCGCGTACGTATCATTCTTATTATCGTCTTGATCTACCGGTCGGAGGTCTGGGATGGAAAAAGTTGTAGGTTAATATTTACAAGTTCTAATGAGCCTTTCTCTCTTTTGTAGATAGTAATTACTTACATGTATGTTTGCCATTCGTGGAACGTTGCATCACTCTCCCGTCGGTGTTGCTGGAAGTTACACCTTAATTCATTTTAGAGAGAATTAATAGTTTGTGTCCATCGTATTGGTGGATATTAAGATTAAGTTTGACCAAATTTGTGCTACATCAATGGATTCACTAATTTTTGCAGGTTAAAATTTCCTCTTACGAATGAAATGAGGGGGTGAACATTTTTTGAAAAATTGGAAGGGAGGAAGTGGGAAAGTGGATCAAAGCTATGCATGTATATAAATGTTTGGCAAGTGTTGCAAAGTTCCAGTAATTCAAATATTCATCCAGCCATTTAGCTGAAGATTTATCAATCGTTTTACCGAGACATAATTTTTCTTTTTCTTTTTTCTTTTTTTTAAAAAAAAAAAAAATTATCTGTCGTACCTATTTTCAATATTTCTAATAATTTCTGGCAAGAATAGATTTGATGGGCCAAAATTATCAAAAATTCTGTATACAAGGGAGAATTAGTGGGAAAAGTAGGGACCCTTGTGCCATGCCATCGTGCGACAATTTTGTAAATAATCTGAAAATCGCATTTTAAACATATAGATCAGAAGTTTCCACATTTTCGCTGAATTTTTCTAGTGCCTATCTATTACCACTTTTGAATTTAGCATCTCGAAGGTCTTGAGCCAAAATACATACTCGTATCATGTTTCATTATGACATGCAATGAGTTTTCCTCTTGTTCACAATAGTCAAAATCATATCAAACGACGGGAACTTAAGAGCAAATTAAAATAAACGAACTCGGCAAGGAAGCATAACAACTCTAGTTTGCAAACCAGATGTAAAAGGATCTGTTAAAAACAAACAACTCAGCGATAGGTTTTTTTTTAAGCCGTATTGGGCGGATCATTTTCTTGAGAACCATGGTCCTGCATTAAACAGGTGTTAACATGACCATCTGATTTTATTGTGAGGTATTTAAAATATTATTATTTTGTCGCGTTGATTTATACATACGTACTTTGTGACTCACGAACCGTGACTTTCAAATTCAAACATACTATTAATTTATTCCTTAATTGCTATTTTCCCCAGATCGGATCATGTACGCGCGGAGTCAACAACGGAATTTCACAAAAATGCCTGTCACCGGAGGGACACCAGTAACACAAGAAGTGGCGATTGTGAGTGGTAATTTAAGTTTGCCAATCAATTCATATCAATTAAATTCTTATACATAAAAAATTAACCATCATGCGCATATTGGCTCATGAAAAAACAGTTAAAATATGTTACTCTTTTTTTATCTAAGTTTTTATTGTCCCCGGTGCTGAGAAATGCTATTTGAATAAACTTTAAAATCTACGCAGCTACATAAGAAAGGTCCGTTAGTTATGGAACTTGAAACTGGATGAAATTTATCCTAATTGCATGCAATAAAAAAACCCAAATTAATTTGCATATTTTACGGCACGCACAGCGCACATTGGAAAATCCAATGTTTTTTTACAGTAGAATAAAAATATAACGAAAGTTTAACAGGAAATTTTTTTCCGGCAAAATTACTTCAACTCAGCTGCTTAATCGTATGCGCAAATTCTTCATTTGAAAATGAAATGGCATTTCTGCGGAGAAACAAGTAAGAATGAGATAATTATATTCCAAGTTCAGTGTACTTACATTCATGCATGAGTGCAACATCTCATTCAACTGGAATCTTGAAAATGTATCGGTCGAAATTAAGTTCAATTTAACTCTTAAGATTGTCCAGAAAAAGTAATATATTTCAGAATCGTAAAAGATGAGAACGTTAATGAAATTTGCCTTTAATTTCTTTAGATGAATAATGCTTTGAAACTTTTTATGACGTCCTGCCTCAGTCCAAAGTATTCTGATAGACCTAAGCGATAAATATTTCAATAGCAATGCCAAAATGGTGAGCATTCTATTTTCGACGAATTTTTGCAGACTGGATAATTAATGCTAAAACAATGGCGCAAATTCTATTTTGATAAAAACAAATCGTATTGGACACTGGATTGTCCAGTTTCGCGACTACTCCTTTTTCTCGTTTAAAATGACAATAAAATGCAGGAGTCCATGCTGATCTTTGTCATATCATGAAACATTTTATTGATATTTTCTGAGAGTGCTCAAAAGGTGACAGACGAGGGAGGAACCTCAACAAATTGGAAATCCTTCACCTTCCTTGCTGGTTTTAAAGTATACTGACTTCCCCATCGAGGGGAATCCTAAGTAATTCCTAATGACACGCTAGGCCGTTTTATATATCTGAGGCTATAATATCTATCACTATTTTGCTTTAGCGCCTCAATACAACTCTTCGTGTTCCAGAGTTGCCGATTTTGCCAACGCAAAAATTGAAGGCATTTTGTCTTTTCTTGTTTTATCGAATGTTTCTGTTGAAGTAGTTTTTAAAGGGGGGAAAGGCACGTATCCCTCCTCGAAAAAACGCTCCTTCAGGGAAGTAGGGAGGTGATCAGCGGCGTTATTCAACCTGCGACATTGGAAGCTCAATGGAAGCACATTTTTGGCGTCTTTGCATGTATAAGAAAAGACAAAACGCCTTCAGTTTTTGCGTAAGCATCATAGGCAGCTTCGGAACACGGAAAGTTGCATTCAGGCGACACAGTCAAAGTGGTGATTGAAATCTTACCCCAGGTTGCGTACTGTTGTTTATTCGCTGTAAGGGGAAGAAGAGGTAACAAGCCTTCAATTTTTGCGTGGGCGAAACGGGTTGCCGCTGCGCTGTTTTAACTTTCTTGGAGATGAAAAAAAAAAAATTAAAAAAGTAGAAGGCACCAGAATATCGTCGGAAGAACTCAACATTCCAGGCTAAAGATGGTCATCCGAATGATATTATTACAACTCATTTCGAACAATCATATAAACGTTTCATTATTGATTGAACAGTTTTTATTTGAGAGAAAGAACTTAAAAAAATATGTATGTTTCTTATGTTAGGCTTTCCGATCTATAGTTTTTGGGACGAGCGTAGCACCTCCGAGAGGCGAATGGCTTCGGACTGGTTTTGTGTTCAGAGATGCGGACAAGGAACTGGCGTACGGACTAAAAGCACCCCGAAACGGATGCAGAGGCCTCCTGTCAGTGGTCCAAGCTTACATTCTAAAACAGCTCTTATTTGAGAGAAAAGACTTCAAGAAAAATGAGCCTGTGATGCAACCGGAAATGTGAGTTCCCATTCATAATTCATCAAATATATGAACCGAGTTTAGTAAAAGGATATACTGGAAAAAAAACACATTGGATCTACCTAGAGTCCAGACTCTTAAAAACATCGACAAGAAAAAGTACTCTTGATTCAATCAGAATCTAGCTTAAATCAAAAACCAAGCCTCTTAATCTAAGCGGATTTCGTTTTGATTCAAGCAAAAATCCGATTGAATCAAGAGTATTTTTTCTTGTCAATGTTTTCACGAGTCTGGACTCTAGATCCAATGTGTTTTTTTTTCCAGTGTACCGATTTCTTTTTGAACCTAGGGATTCGCGCTGCACACTGTGAAAAATCTTGGAGTAACTTCCTCAACCTGAGCGAAACCTAACCTCCGAGCTAAAAACATTTTTACGTCGAGGATGTTATGAAGAATCACCCCTGTCCTCCTTCATTTTCAGGTTAACTCTGCATAAGGAGATGAGACTAAATTCACAGTAATTAAAGGGTCACAAGTAGTAGAGTAACTTTAAGAAACATCTCATGAAAAATGACGAATTATTTTGTTTTTGAGTACCTAACTAAAATGAATCAGTGAGATCGAAAACACCCCAACTAGGTAACTCGAAAATGCTCAATTTTCATTAAAGACGGTCAATTTTTATAACGGTCATTGAAGTTAGCGCATCTGTTCCAACTTGGACCTTTAAAATGGCCTTAAGTGCTTGTATTTTGGCACCAAAAATATTTTTCTGAGACTAATTTCTTCATCTACTGTCCAGTTTTGTGTGTGTCTTGATTACTTTCCTTTTTCCGAGTTGGTGTGTTTTCGTTCTGACTGATTCAAATCTGAGTGAACTGATCGATAAAAGGCAAAAGGTTATGCAACGCAGGCATTGCTTAATGAATCAAATGTCCTCGAAAAAATATTTTGGGCCATCTCACGCGTAGGTCAGTTATGGAAAAGCATTTTCCTTGTCGAAATGAAAATAAAGTAGTATTCAAGATTACAAGACTCCACGTACTACGGTAAATCATTATATCCTTTTCAGTATTCAAACAAATTTTATCCTTACTTGCATCATAAAATAATTTATGGTTTGAGATTTCATCTTACATCCGCTTTTATGATTTGAACTTTTTAAAAATGAGAAATGATAATTCATTCCGCACTTCAATGGGTTTTCACCGCAGTAAGGGCACAAAATTCCATCGGCTCATGAAAATTAGATTTATCCCTTGGAAAACCGGTTTATGAAATCTGATTCGTTGGTGCTTGACAGCGAGAACATGTTCAAAATATGTTTGAAGCAGTCTCTCTCCTGACTCCGGCCTGAGCTCTGATTATAGTAAGGAGCCATCGGCATCTTGAAGGGTTTTATATTTTGAATAAATAGCAACATTATAAAATCTTTTCATTCCATTTTCCAAAAGCTGACGACGGATTTTCAACAAGCATGAGAGACCAGCGACCTTCATCAGATATATGCATCGGTCATTGAGATTAAAATAACTTTAGCTTGGATGAAAAATGCAAAAGATATAATCAGTTCTAGAAATGACTGATTATTTTTTCCTTTTGATAAAAAAATCGATCCAAAAATGATAGTAAAACTAGAATTGCCGCATCAAATTTCTTTAAGGAGAAAAATTCTTCGTAAATTAAGCAAAATGAAAATACAAAAAACTTATACATAATTTTTTTGTTTAATCAAAACTATTCCCCAAAAATGTGATAAAGAAGACAATTCTCTTCAAGGAATGTATTAATAACGGACATTTTCGAGCATATTAGTTGGGATACACATTTTTCTGATCACAACATGGATGTGCCTAACCCAGTACTGCCGACGGAGGCCCTGTAGGTAATCTTAATGAAGTAGTCTTCATTCACCTCAGCAAGTTCACGAGGATATGCCGCCAACGACCACCTCTATTAAAGCAATGTAATAATGTAGTTTGATGATGCAGTGATGGAAGTAGCATGGGTTGTTCCAGTGATTTTAGTGCTTACTTTTTCCAGGCTCCTCAGACCAAGTCGTGGGAAACAATTAGAGGCTTTATGGTTGGCAATTAGTGATATTCTCTGGCGGATCGGAGAAAAAACAAAAGCTGTCGTCTGTCTGCCTCAAGATCAACCTTACGTTTCTCATTCTCTCAATTATTTTCAAGATTCGGTGACGGAAAAAGTGAGTAGCATAATAACAGGATGACTGAGTAGGTACTCCTCTCGTTAAACCAAAAAGTCTAGAACTTTTTTTATAGGCCATGATCATGACGAACGTTCGTATTTTACGGCTGTGTTAAGCCTAACAAGTGTCATAAAAGACTCATCGATTTCTGAAAGGAAATCAGGAAATTTTACCGACTGGCAACCACACTCAATGAATGTTACCCTGCCGTGCTATGGGAAAACGCGGTAAGAGCCGACAGGCGTTGCCAAACTTCCTTCGATAAAACACTAATTTCCCAATAAATTTATGAATATTTTCCTTCTAATTTTTTAGACAATTTCATTCGCAATTTCATCTGAAGTTTCTGAAAATTTTACGGAAAAATACTAACTTTCCTCTTCCTTAATAACTTTCCTCAAAAATAAACAGTTTATCGAAGAAAATTTGGCAACTCTCGAATGTTCATACGGCGTTCTTCCTTAGCACGGCAGTAGAGGTTTTCATAATTATTCTTAAATAATTGCTATGCAAGAAAAGCTGTTATCAAATATGGCTAGTTACGAGTATTGCATAAACATAAAAGTACAAAGTTTCATCAATTTCACTTTTTTTTTTCATGAAAGGATTATAGATGTAAATGGAGAGAGGAAGGTAATAAGTTGCATTTTGATCCGGCTATTTTGTGCTTAGGATGCAAAGGATTGAGATTTTCAATAGCTTTTTATAAGACCACGTTCTTTAATGAGTACCTGCAAACTTGAGACCGAAATAACTACGGTTTGATTTTGACATCTTTGGGCGTTTCTTATTCTAAAATCTGTGGATCACTATTTTAGTACTCCTCGATACCTGAATTAACGATGCTTGGATACTATGAGTCGTTTCTTGGAGAGCACATTTTTAGATTCAGCATATCAACGGCGAAACTCCCAAATCACATATCTCGTTTGCGATGTTTCAAAATTCCCGCTCCCGTTTTATTTTTTTGGAGGAGAACAGGTCAACATAATTCCTTGAAGTTTTTGCAGAATTTTATTCGCTTAAGAAAAAAAAATCCCGGAAGCTCTAAAGAATTAACGTTTAGTAGATTTCCATTTAAAAAATGAAGTGTGCCAAGAAGGCTGTTATGTTACAAGTTGAGATATTTGGTGTAGGAGTTTCAACGTCAATATTCTTAATTTTCAGAGATAAAAAAATCTATACGACCATGGGTACTTTATTTTTTTTTTCTGAAAAGAATGTACCGGTTAAAGTTAACGCTATACAGGTTACATGCAAAATCCACAAATTTCAAGAGTCAGTTATTTCATATCCCGAAACAACTTTTTAGGCACCTTTGAGATAGCATTACATACTAATTCACGATCTGTGACACAACTACTCTTTGATATGAATCCGCACCAAAGTACACAGAAATCAAAAATCCATTTTACTTAACATCATGAAAATTCACCTTAAAGAATAATATCCAAAAAAAGAAATAATGACTGAATGAATGGCATTGCTTCTTCTCAGACCGCAGAACTGAGACGAACAGTTTTCTATAGATGTTAATCGATTGGACCATCAATCAAAGCACCTTTGTATAAAAGTTTTTAATATCATTTTACAGTTGCACATCTTCGAAATTGCGAATTTGGAGGAGCTTCAAATATTTATAAAACGCTATATTCACTTGGTGAGAATCATTCTTTATTAAATTAACTTTATATCCGCATACACAATATAAGTTCAAGTTCAAGTTCCAAAAAAAAGCCAATGGCGCATAAAAATTGATTGCGAAAGATTTTTAAGAACCTATAGGTTTAAAAAATAGCGTCGATAGTTTTGATCCAGGAAGGATCGGGAAAAGGTCTAACGTTCCTTTTCTCCGCCTAGATTATTGAACTGTTATTGAAGACTACGATCGATAAATATAGCATTGTTGACGTAAATTTTTATTGATCAACCTCATTCGATGACAATTCAAAAATCGATGCGCTGGTAAACTATGGTGGGTCCAAGCGGAATTGTTGGGTCTAACCCGGGTGAACTTGTTCGCTGGGATATAAATTATTAAGATTTCGCATCCTTACCCCCTCCAAGACAGGGCAATCGAAGGGTTAATCCAAAAATAGTACTGGCCCTTCCATAGATTTTGTATAAACAATTCAAGGATCGTTTTTGCAGAGCTCCTTGTAAAGATCTAGTAAAAACATCTTATTTGCGTTCGTGACTCGTTTCTGCAGGGTCTTGCCCAAAAATAATACAGTCCTCGTTAAAAATTATCTTTAACTGAAAAAACTGAAAAACCTTTTTATTTATTTTTCCAGTTTTTGGAGGAGCCAGGACCAGGAGCGCTACTCCTTTTGTACAGTGCAGTTGCAACCCGAGGAACAAAGAAGTGAGTATCCTAAGCCTTTGCTTCCACAGTTTAGCATGCGACGCATAGTTAGCGGCGCGACCGGGTGCAATGATTTGAAATCTGTCTGTATTGTTAATGGAAAGTCGATATAAAAGACCGCGACCGCATCTGTAGCGACGAAAAATCATTGCACCCGGTCGCGCTGCCAACCTTCCTTATTATATTTACAGTAATGATACTTTATGCGTCTTGATTAATCGTATTAGCAAATGTTCCATTCATTCGCTTTACTGAAAAAGCACGAACGCAGTTGAACTCTGAACACGGGAGTTGTAAGTTTGCCACAAATCCTAATTGCACTAAAAAATGAACTGTAACTCAAAAACGTGTATGGAAAACCTATTTTGAAAAACAGGTAGTATCCATTCAATCCGAGGTATTCGTCTTTTTCCAGCGCATGGTTGAAAAACGCCTTCGAAATTGTGCTTATGCAACCCCTCGACGGCCATGTTCGAATAGTTATCGCTCACGCCTTGGAGGCACTTTGGAAAACGCCCTGCATTATGTCGCTCTGTACTGCCGTACTAACCAGAGCTGCTCTATGCTGCCATACTAAACAGAGATGCAGAGAAGCCTTGCGAAAATTCTTACACTGCTACATTTCTTCAATCAAATAGGCCTTTCCCAAAAACATACAATATTTTTCAGCAAATTATACTGTTACTTCTTTATTCGCAATTCAATCTAGCGTATTTTCAAATTTTAAGAAATAATATGCATCTCTTTTAAAAAACAAACATCTTATAGAGTGGAATGTGGCCGCACTTGAACGCTCATACTACGTTTTGCCTTTTTAGCACGGCAGTGAAAAAGAAAAGCACTTTACAGAGGGAAGGTGCTATCCTAGGATGTCATAGGTTGAAAATTTTGACTTAAATTTTTGACATATTCCTCCAAAGCTAACTAATTTTGCAATTCATAATCCTTTACTGAGCTTCTAACTGTAAAATACTATTGAAGTATCCTTCTAAGAGGGAACATCATTATTTTTTTCTTTATTATTTTTTCTGAATAATTTTTCTTTTTTTTCTTGATCTCTAAAAAGTCACAAGGTCCAAACATTCAAATGTTCTGATTTTCTACGTTTTTAACTTTCATTAGACTTGAAATTAAAATCAATGTATGCCTGTTTATCCCAGTGTGATATCGGATATCATGGATGAGAAGGGATACTTGGTGACAGGAGCAGAGGAGGGCTCTCAGTCTATCATTATGTTACTGCTCACCGGTCGTGCAACTCCGTACCTGCATAATGGCGTCGTCTACGTCGGAGATGAGGAGCACTACGTAAGTAATTACACCTGAGAGAATTTCAATACTTCATTAATGATATAGTCTCCGGTGAAAGACGTCACTTTTTGAGACGTTGCTCTTGTTCGGTTCTTCCCTGACATCCACAATCATATTTAGAGGTATATGAGGGTAAACATAAGTATAGTAGTATAATAGTATAATAATGCCATAAATGTAGCCATGAAAATTATGAGAGGGCAGAGGGGCCAAGGGCTCAGATGCTCTTCGAGGGAGTCTACTTCTATTTCGTGGCGATTCTTGAAAGTTGGCAAAACTGTTTTTCCTCCATAAAAATCTATTTAAAACAATCGATTCTTGGTGAGACAGCTAAAATCGATAAATTTAATACATTTAAATGTAGCTTACAGTGTTGCCAACTTGCTGGAATTGCCACTGCTTTTATTGAGCGGCTACATACGAGCCCAGGCCATCTAGCTACGCCTATGGAGAGGAATTGATAACACAGTCCTTCACTGTATTCGTTTCACTGAAATAAAAATGTGTGCCATGGAAACTATAGGGCGCATAGCTTCAGTGCAGAGCTGATCTTTTGACCCAGACACTCCTTTATATGCCATCTGTCCAAACGTAATGTGATTGATTGTTCTATCACCAGGCCATTCCACAATTTGGAGTACTACAAAGGAGTGAAATTGGATTTCTGCTTTTCGATGAAGGTGTAGAAGAAAAGGCACCTGGTTCCAGACTCAAAACCCCATCGTTACCAATTTGGGTTGTTTGCTGCCTGGGACATTTTGGAGTAATTTTCAACACGAATAGAGAACTTTTACGGAACTACCACGCTGAACGCAGGTGCTTGTCTTTGTTTTTTACATCAATTTTGTATATAACATCATTATACATGGTCAATGCTTTGTAATATTTTCAAGTCAGTACTGGCTGTTAAATTAGAAATGATGGGCGGTTAAAGCCCTGGTAAAAATTGGCAGTAGAATCTGTGTTCCAAAATACCATAGGCCTACAGCCGGCTGTAAGATTTCCAATAGCTTCTATAGCCGGCTACACAATTTTTTATATCCTTTTATAGCCGATGGCGATTAAGCAACAGCCAGGCGATAAAGTATATGCTAAACGTTACTAATTACGGATGCTAGGACTTAGTGAGTTTTTTGAATACTGCTCCCTTTTTGGGCCGTAGTATCTTGATTTATTTTGCGAGGAAAGCTCCGTACTTTTGATGGATGCCTGCCATTACTAATATATTAGAGCACCTTCAGTTTCGTATGATACTGTGCAATACCTCTGGTGTGAAATAGTTGCTTCAAGCGCCGTGCAGGCGGGCAGCCAGCGCGAAACACGCATTGGCGTCTACAAACCTAACAGGGATACTTCACGCGTTGCGCAATGCGTGAAGTATCCTTGTTAGGTTTGTAGGCGCCAGTGCGTCGCCGCTCCGCTCCGCTTTGTGTTAGGCTCTAATATTTAATCTCGCGGAGTCAGCGTTATTCAACTCATGATTTTGAAATGTTTGCACATCCTGCGTGGATTAAGTATTCTTATTTTAATTGATGAAAAAAAATATGTATTAAAGGAAAATATGATGTGTGTTTTGAAAATATGAAGGTGGCTCCATATCAAACTTAATGATTTCCAAAGCACACGAATTCCTACACAATTTCTTGTAGCCTTTTATAATCGATGGCGAAAAAGCAACAGCCAGGCGATAAAGTATAAAGCCCAGCGATAGGAACTATAGCCCGGCTGCATAATTTTTTATCACTTCGTATGATTTTCTCTGCATTCTACAGCCAGCTATATGATTTTCTGTAGCTTTCTTTAGCCGGCTATAAGAATTCTTATGGTATTTTGAAACGCAGCTCTTATCGTCAATTTTTACCAGGGAGGTGTCAAAGAAAAATAATTGCCCCCCCCCCTTTTTAAGTGATGTAAGAGTCATTTTGAGTAGAATGTGTTTCTTGCCATACTAGGCAAAAAAATTGAAAACCTAGAAATCATTTATAAATAGAGCCTCAATTTTTAATTTTTCATTCGTAAACGTGTTTTCATCAAAATAACAATGCCACTAAACTATTGCATCTATGATATTCTTTGGCTCTAGCTTCACATTATGAAACAAAAATTAGAAATGATGGTATTGCTGTACGATTGGTATTTTTATGTCAATAGTGGTACGACATTTAACTTAGTCAAGAATTCCAATTGCAGGAGTAGCCCAGTGGCGTGGCTTGCTTTGCGGTGGATCGATTGATCTGTCATTTAGCCCTATGGAAAAGTATCGATAAACAGCGTGTTCGCAACGAACACCTTGATAATCGATTCTTCACCACAACTTCAAATGGGTAAATATCGATAATCGATCATTCACGCCACGCCACTGGAGCAGCCATTCTAGCAGCCTCACAAAGGAGACTCAAACAGTTTGTGTTTCGGAGAAGTTCACCTAGAGCCACTCGAAACCTATATCATATTCAGTGGCGTGGCGTGCTTTGCGATATATCGATTGTTATGCCATTTAAACCTATGGAAAAGGATCGATAAACAGGGTGTTCGCAGCGAACACCCTAATAATCGATTCTTTACCATAGGTTTTAATGGCAGAACAATCGATACATCGCAATTCACGCCACGCCACTGATCATATTCCCTACTCTCTGGTTCTGTGATCAGAGCGCAGGGCTTTAAATAAGTGACTCAAAACTTTTCTATCCAGGAAGGACTGAAACTGACTATCATATGACTGTCTTTTTTTAAGGTTCGAGCTTATTTACTACACCTGTGGTGGAAGTCAATGTCAATTAACCGTGGACACGCGGCACGATGGGAGCAGCACTCAAGTGTCGACGTCTGAGGATACTGCAAGCTCATCTCTCGCCAATTTAGAAAAGCTCATTCACACAAAGTACGTCCGGTAGTTTATGCTCATGTCAGATTCACATGATTAAGTTCCTGCATTAGCTCTATCACTGAACGAGGCGTAAAATATTTTGGAGACTCAATAATAACAATTTTCCCATTAAATCGAATGAATGTTATATTCAGCAATTTCTCGACTCTCGAGGCCGCTCGTCAAAATCGAGCCTTATTTTCCAGCGAGCTTAATCCTATACGTTTCTGAATCAAAATCAGAATCAATCTAATACACCATCGAAGTAAGGTAGACTTGTAATTTCCAATATGCGAAAATACTACCGTGCTAAGGAAAAACGCCATATGAACATTCTAGAGTTGCAAAATTTCCTTCGATAAAATGTTTATTTTTGAGAATAGCTATGAATATTTTTCTTGAAATTTTTGGGAACTTCAGATGAAATTGTGAGCAAAATTATCCGAAAAATTGGAGGAAAAATATTTACAAATGTTTCCGAAAATTCATGATTTACTAACAGAAATTTAGCAACGCCTGAAAGTTTGTGCGGCATTTTTCCTTAGCACGGCAGAATAGTTGGTCTCTTTTTAACACAATGCTCGCATGGCGAATTTTATTGCAGTTGATTACTGGCATAATGATAATCAGGTTGGACCGATTTCGTGCCAGGTGGCATTTTCTTCGTCCTTGAATACTTCAAATTATGTAGTTATGGATGAGCTCTCAGAACTTATTTGGGCATTGCTCATCAACGTTTTTGGCGCTTTGTGTATGTATGGTTGCATACATTGTCTGTTTTGAGCTGGTAATGTAAACTGATTGAGAAGAATTCCCACACACAATATTCTATGAATTTTGACCTGTGTTAATCACATTGAAATTGGACTGCATTTTGTAAATAGAAACTGCAATTTCTGGTTCTTTTTAGAAACAACATAAGATCCATTAATTTTCCTATGCAAATATGTTTTTTATGCATAAGCCAGAAAGTGTACTTCCTTATTTCAAATTGTAGTCAAATTGAGAACTAAGCAATAATCTCCCTTTTCTAAAATATAAATTTGTATTTTTGGAAATATTAGAAACTGAAAATCAAAATTTTCAACTTCAAATCGGTTTTCCATCTAACTGGGTGGTTTTAGTAGGCGTCTTAAGGGCTCATCTATCTGCCTCCATCGCACATCTTTGAAATCAGAATGTATCGTAATTGGAATTATTTCTGTCCTACAGGTGGCAAGATGCTCACATTCATTGGAATGGCACTTCGAATTTCATTTAAAGCTCCATCACATCACTCGATAAAAATTCCACCACTTTCTTTCATCATTTCCGTCATTTCGGTTTTCCATTTCCCTCCTCTCGTTTTCTAGTCTATATTAATTTATTTTAATTTTTATTGTTGATGCTCATGACATGTGATCAAAAATAAAAGCTGTGAGTAATAATCTCTCGTTTTTTTCTGCATGATTGCAACATGAGCTGCAAAGGTATTCATTAAAAAGTCAGGTGAAAGCTCAGCACATGAAGTGAATAAAACCATATTCATTCCAAAATAAAAATCAAGAAATTATTCATGTAATTCTAGCCATTCTTTGAGGTCAAATCAACATGCACTTGCATATCGACGTTTTAATTATCTTGGTTTGCGACTGCACAACCCAACCTGCAGCTATAATCTGAATCACCAGTTTGATTGTTGCGCGTTGACGCAACTATTCGTGTGCCGAGGCTGTCAATGTTGCCTACGAAAAAAATGAAGGCGTTTTGCCTTGTCTTAGGGAAAGTACACTAAAACTATGCTTTTATTGGGCTCCGCGAGATGGGATGTCGTGATTGCTCTCTTCCTCCCCCATGGGAGGCTCTTTTCATTGGACGGATTCGTTTCTTTTTCCTGCTTTGACAGGAATATTCGATAGCACAAGAGAAGGCAAAACGCCTTCAATTTTTTCGTATGCAACATGTGCGACGCTACATATTTCCTGTAATACCTTGTCCTTAAAATAGAAAAATGCTCTAAGGCAATTCTTAATAACTGCCGTGTTTTGATCTTTTCCTGGGTGCGAAAGGTCGATTTGTTCTTCTTGAAAAAAAAAATAAAATAGGAGCGGGAGTTTTCAAACACCGGAAACAGGAAAAGTGGTTGCAGACTTACACCATTAATATCGGAAGTGAGGCCACCTTTAATACGTAAAGTATATGTGTGTTGGTTTACGATACATCAGATTTCCTGACAATATTTTAAGGGATGACTAATCATTGTTAACTCGAAAAATTTCTTGCAGATATCTTCAGCTCTTTCAGCCAGAAAGCCAGAAATTTTCTGGCTTACTTATGCAAGTGCTTACCTCCATAGGGGAACTATTGGTACAAAATGAGCAAGGAAAAGGTTTTTTTTTCTTGGTGCAACATTTTGTCCATTTAATCCTTCATCGAAGGTAAATTTATTGACATTGAAATGAGACTCAACATATTGAAATAGTAGTCAATTTTTCAAAGTTCATTTTCCGGCCCTTTTTGTATTATTTTATGAAAATGAGAATTTTCATTGAAAATGGAAGAATTTGCAAGAAATTTTGCAAATTGGCGATGTATCGAATACTTCTGATGTAGGTAAGCGAAACGGATATCGAGTGAGACTGAAGACTCGCACGTGTCTATTACGTCAGTGTCAAGATGGTATCTGACAGCGAGATGAGTAACATAATCACAATAAAGCAACATTGCCGCTACAGACATTTTCAGTTCGAGCGACAGGTTATTACGATATCTGAAACGGCCAAGTTGGCAACAATTTTTTACAACTCATGGATTTACAAGCAGGATTGAAGTCTGCAGACGTTTCCGCTGGTTTTTCACACGTTGAATTCAGACGAAGTTGTATGCACATCACGATCCGGGATTTCGCTTAGATATTGCCCGAGACTCCTCCAAACTGAGGAGGAAAAAGTTGTAAATCCGTTCTCATGTCTATTCAAAGTAGGAGCGATGAGCATAGATCGGCGGTCAAGGACGAGACCTTCTTGTCGAGTGGGTTGCTCCTTCGACGGCGTTCCATAAAATTTGGACCATCCGCACGCGATATCGCGACTCCATGCACGTTCCATAACGTCGTCTTTCGTCAAAAAAAAACCAGTTTTTCCGCCCGGCTGAATTCGGCAATTTTAATCCCGCTTCTTTAACTGGTTTTTCTTCAGACTGACGCGACGTGACGGAACGAGGAACGTTTTATGAGGAGAAATTTGAGGGGAGCGGTGTTTTATCACACGTTAAAATATCAATGAATGAAATAAAAAAAATACGCACTGGAAAAAAAACATATTGGATCTAGAGTCCAGACTCTAAAAAACCTCGACAAGAAAAAATACTCTTGATTCAATCAGACTTAAGCTTAAATCAAGACCCCAGCCTCTTAATTTAAGCGAATTTCCTTTTGATTTAAGCAAAAATCTGATTGAATCAAGACTATTTTTTCTTGTCAATGTTTTCAAGAGTATGGACTCCAGATCCAATGTGTTTTTTTTCCAGTGCGTATTACTATCCATTTCATTTGCTACCATAGCTCACACTCAAGTGTGTTCTATTAGAGAGCTCATACAATGAAGTTGCGGATTTGGATATGACACTATGGGGTCATGAAAAACAAATCAATTAAAGAATATTTTTTTATTCACATAGTAAAACAAAAATCACTAAAAAATGTATAATTTACTTAAATAGGTACATACATCACATCTTTTCTCCCTGTTTTTTCTCAGAAAAAAAGGAAACACATAATCAACGAGTTAAAAGAAATGAACAATTTACAACAACAACTTACAATCTAATCGAATTCTATTTTACTGAATGATTGCTCCAAATCAATTTGTTTGTTTAACTTCTCCGGAGGTATTTCCTTCCACCTGTCTTCAATCGCTAACCATTCGGCTTGTTCCTTTATTTTTTTCACCCAGATTTCTAGAAGAGAAAAAAAATTCTAAATCTTACAAAGAAATACAATTTAAACGGTTTTGAAGATATCAACGGTTAAAAAGCATAGCGTGCTAAGTTTTTTCCTTGAATTCATTTCATTTTTCAGCCGGCCGCTCAATTAATTACGAGACGACCAGCATTAATGCCATTAATTTTACAATCATCTGAAAAGAAGACGCAGAAAGCAGGATTCTTTCTCTTCTTTAATTATCCTCCTTGAAAAAAGATAGTGCCATAAAAAATACACGTCTGTGAAGAAAAATAGCGAAAATTGTAATGCGAGGAAGTTTTTGTAATTAACTTTTTTTGTGATTTCCGCATTTTATGTCTTTTTCACTGTGTGATAACGACTACTTGAAGTAAAAAAAATATGCAGTCCTTCTTAAATTGGGCATTTCACGCAACTTTTCACTCGCTGAATTTTCTATTTTATCTCGCAATTTGATAGTATCTGACAAGTGTTAATGACCATTAAAATTGAAAGTCCGCGCGGTTGACCTTACTATCGTACCACGGGCACTCACATTTGATCTGATCTGTGTGAATCTGACACTCTTTTTTCCCCTTTAATGAATTACTCTTTAATCATACCTAATCGCGTTAATGGTGTTCCTTCTCTTTTTCCTTTTTTCTGATCCTAAAAACTCACGGCGAATAGTTGATAATTTCAATTCGTCATTTATTTTATTTTTTTAAATTTTTGCCTTTCCATAATTCTTTTTCAAAAAATCCTCATAAATGCATCTTATACACAAGCCTTACCTATAGAGTGCTCAGCATTAATAAACCAAGAACTTGCATTAACATCCCTCTAAAAGGCTCTGTTTGAAAAATGAAATCTTGCATCCTACATATTTTCGGCGAGTATCATGTTTTAGGCAGGAGAAATATGTTTCTAGGCGTGGTTAAAATGACCTTTAACTTAATATCCCATTCCTAAAATATTCTTTGGCTCCCTTTCGTAAAATACTGTTCATGTACGCCTCTGATAAAGCATTGCTTTCATTATTTTCCATTGGAAAGTTTTACTGGGTCCTTCATTATTTCAAACACTCTGAAGATATGACTTCACAAATGTCCATTTATTTACCTTTTTATTCACGTATCTACTGAAGTGAATTTCAAAATCTTTAGTTCGAAGCAAAAGTCTCTGAATGAGCTCGCTGATACCAAATGTGGAATTGGGACCCAGTTTTTTATAACTGAGGTACGACCATCAAAGGGGGTTCAAAGCATCCGCCGGGAGTAGGGCTGCTCCTAACCCCCCCCCCCCCCCCCCCCCCCCCCCCCCCCCCCNCCCCCTCCCTTAATATTTTTCGGAACAATCAGCTTACCTTTCAGTTCATCTACGCTTCCTGTGTTACCACCGTACTCTTTCGGTAATAAATCTTTGGGAACAAACTCGTCAATGGTATCCGATCCTGGAGTGTGAAAGTGTAGCTGTAACAAAAGTAATAGTTTATGACATTAAATTGCTGTTGCGCAACCTGAAATCTACAAAGAAACTGATTGACTTTATGGGAACCTGGTACTTTTCTCCGATGGCGCAGAGCGTGAATGATCGATTATCAATACTTCCCCGTTTGAAGCTATGGTAAAGAATCGATTATTAAGGTGTTCGTTGCCAACACCCCCTTTATCGATCCTTTAACATAGGTTTAAATTGCAGAGAAATCGATAAGCTTCAAAGCACACCAAGCCACTGTTTTTCTCGAGCGGTCAAAGAGAACACCGATAGAAAGTCAAAATGTCACTGAGTCCAGATCTACTTCAGAGATATTTTCCCTCGATTTTGAAATAAAAATCGTGAAGCGTGCGGAAAATTCTTTCCTACGCATTAAATGCACTTATATTTGCAACTTTACGGTTCACTCACTAATTGTGTATCATACGTTGGATATCAATGCAAAAAATATTTAAAGATTTATTGCACTCGGAATCGTGACACATGGAGTGTTTCAAATAGACGTATTTCTATCAAATGGAACTATATGCATTAAGACTTGAGCCCTGAGACCCATATGAATGTATGCATAAGAGGACCCATGTCCTAATGCACATGGCTCCGTTTGGCAGAAACACGTCCAAATCAAGTCGACCATGAAGAATCAACTCGTGTCCCGAATCGGTGCTCGTAAATTGTGCGGTCCGTTAGACATTTGACCGATTCAGCGCTATACTTATAAATGGAAATGCAACTCTAGATCTTACCATATCTTTGACGTGTGGGTTCAATAACGGTTTAACGAGGCTAAACGCCTTGTGTAACAGTCCATTAGTGTTGACTATGTGAACCTGCATTAGTTTTACCGGATGAGCTTCCTGCAACAAACACATATAGGATTCATTACTTTTACAACTTCCTGGAATAATTTTAAAATTCGTGGGCATGAAATGACCGGAACTTGATGAAAGTTGCTGTAAGCAAATTTTTCTCATCGGAAGCAATAAGAGTGACATTAAAATTCGTCATATTATAATCATAAAAAAGTGTAGGTGTATGCATCGTGAATTCATAAATTCAAAAAGAATTTAACGGTGAAAAAAAGAACCACTGCGGTGGATGATTCAGTCATCGTGTCGCTCGAAGAGTAATGTCCATCAAATTGAGTGTGTATACTACCGTGCTTAGGAAAAACACCGTATGAACCTTCAGGCGTTGCAAAATTTCCTTTGACAAGATACACACTTTTGGGAGATGTGTGAATATTTTTTCGATAATATTTCCGAGAGTTTTATTTGTAGTCAGATCTGAATACATTGAAAATTTCAAGAGAAAATATTTACATCTCTTCGTGCGTTTTTTGGATAGTAAATTTGGCAGCATTCGAATATTCATACGGCGTTTTTTATTAGCATGGCAGTATAAACGAAAGATTTCATAACTCTTGACCAATGTAAAAGGAATCAAAGTGCAAAACAGAATACTTCGACCAGTACACTGATCCGTCATGAACGTCTATCATTCCAGTGTATAACATTTAAAAAAAAAATGAAAAAATTGCCTACTTATAAAAATATGATCATATGGATGTGTCTGCTATTAGTGGGCGAATCAGAATTAGATAGCAGGAGCCGGTTTTCGAGGATCAGTTTCTCATCCGATTTTGCTCGAGTCATTTTAGCGCCTCGGTTGCTGATCAATGTCGCTGATCTCTCTGACCTCTAATCGAACTCAGCGCACATTTGTGACATGCTTTAATGATGATATTCCTGTGATTCCGTTGATGGACACACCTTTGCAGGTGTAATCCTGCAGCTTGGTCATTTTTTTAAGAATTTAAATGCGGATTTTTTTTTCTCTCTTTTTTTCTCCCGGGCAGACAAGGTGCAGATGGTTCTTGTGCGTTCCGAATTGGATAATTTTCTCATTCCACTAATTCACAAGTGATAGTGAGTATGATTATTCCTTTTGATAGCTCATATTCTCTTATTAACGAAAACGGATACCGCTCTTGTAAGAATGCAGTAACGATTCCAAGGAATCACAGTTGAATTGGTTATCACTTTTGTGTCAAATATATGATTAATGATTTCTCGAGAAAAAATTGAAAACGAATTTCAGATAAATATGTATAGTAATATATGAAAAGCTCAAAATTACTCCTGAGATGTCTAAATTTTTCTCCACCCCCCCCCCCCCCCCGCAGAAAGTTCCTGGCACCGTCCATGCTTGAGATTCCCCTCTCGCGATTTATTTAAATAAACTTCAAATATTGCATGGAAATTGCAATAAAAAATTGCAATATTAAAGAAACTCACAAAAACCAGCCAACGTTATTAGCAAGGCTTTCAAGAGGACCGAGTAAAAAGGAAGAAAAATGCGGCAAAGAGTGTTGAGAAATAATGTTAAATATGAATTGACTCCTCTTGCAATAACTTAAAATGAGATATATCAGAAAATTTTGAGGTGCATGATAAAATAGATTCATTGTTGTAAAATAGGTATGTTAAGACGTTTAGTGGACTTAACCTAATTGAATCAATTGATGTGATGTGAGCTGCTAAGACTGACAGCATTCGTGCATGAGTGCGAGGCTAAACTTAACTTTGTATTTTGCTAAAATTGAGACTCAAATCCATTTTTGGTTTTGGTTTCATTGCATGATGGTAAAATATTTCCATCAAGACACTACTACAGTCTCAGAATAATCCTCTCGTTTTGCTCTCTCTTGACTTGCACTCGCGCAGAAACTTGCCCCAGGCATTATCATCTCAGATGTTCGGCCACTGATCATTAGCATTAGAAATCAATCAAAATTTCAAAGAGGAATATATCTGCAGGCCAAAATCTTCTGCCAGTGCGAGAGGCTGGCACTCAACAACTCATTAGGACGTATTTCTATCAAACGGAGCTATGTGCATTCAGACATGAGCCTTGAGACCAATAAGAATACATACATAACAGGGCTCACGTCATGATGCACACACTTCCGTTTGATAGAAATACGTCCATTACTAAGCCGATCTTCAGGTTATTATCTGCTGATTGTTTGAAAATAGTTGTAATAACAGAGGCGTCTCAAACTTTCTGCGGTCGCTGCGGAGGAAAGCGTTAAAAATGTGCTACTAAGAATAAGTTATTTTAACTCGGGGAAAATCCACTGTTGAATATTAATGCAGAACGTACCTGATTATACAGTAGGTACTTCTTCAAAGTGCCGAAGTTGAAAATTAATTTAGTGAGATGCTTAAAACTAAATCCTTCCATGTCTAAAATAGGAACATCGCCCGCTGGAATATCTTCAGTCCTCATTCTGGTGTCGTGCATCATGAAGAACATTTTGCTGTAGTCGGCCAGATTGAAATTGTCGGGATTCGTATCTCTCAGTCTTGTGACGTAGACTTGGTACCCTTCTTTCGTCCTCCTTGGAAGCGGTAAGGTATCTCTGGAGGAATAAAAAAATAAAATTCGTCAAAACTGAACAAAAATAAACACCGGGGAGTAACAAAGAATGGTGTAGTTGATGCACTATTTCAATTGCCATTGGACAGATTTAATCCAAATCAGCCTAGATACATCGGACGTAGCTAAATTTTCTCCAATGTTTTATTTTTCTTTAAAAAAAATACCAAGCAATGATCCGACATGTCTTGAAATTACAGTGTATTTTCCGCAGTAAATACACTATTTTAGTTAATATTCCTAATAATCCAGAGAGTTTTCACAGATTTTTTTTGCGGCATCGAGTTGTATAGTTCTCTGATTAAAAAGATAAAGCATACAAGGGCATTAGATGACTGCATGAAATGTAGTTAGACTGATTATTGTTGAAGTCATCCCGTTATGAGTCGAGAGCAATTTTAATGTATTTTAAATCCAAAAGAAACAATATTAACTGCATTTTGAAAAGGGCGCGAATTTTGAAGGGGGTGCTTCTCGGAAGGGTTGGTAGGGATAAAAAAGGATGTGTTAGCTTCCAAAGATGAGAACTTAATCTGATCAGTCTACGTCAGATGAAGTAAAATTGATATAAAAAAAATCCAGGAGAGAATCAAAATTTTACTTTTGCTCTCCATCCGACGCCACTTTTTTAAACAGGAAAAGGTCGCTTCCTTTTTCTTTTCTTTTTTTCTTTTTTTCGTGTATGTAATTGACCATTTTGATGATGAAATTCGGAAAATGTGTACTTTCATTGCAACGTTCTAAAATCTCTAATTATGAATCATCTTTTAAATGATCACCATCCGAGACATATCTTTAAAATTTTCTATGATTAATTTCAAATGAGTGAGGAAAATTCACATAAAAATTCCACAAAAAAAACTGTTGGTTGATTACCATTGAAAAACATGAGGCATTAGCGGAGAATTGTCACGTCGCAGTCAGAGATGCGCATTTTTCGACTTTAGCCATCGATATACTATGTATAAGTCGCGCGTGGTGTAAACACACGTGTTGCGTAGTGCGTTGGCGATTCAGGCAACTCAAGGTTATCGGAAACCTTCCATAAAAGACCTTTCCAGATCAACAGAACATTCCATCCCTTGTGCGAAAAGACTATGATGCTATTTTGCAACGATGCTAGTTAAGAAATCCAGATTATGCTCTCTGCAAAAAGTGCCCTTGATAGACCAACATGCAGGGTGAAAAAATAAGGACCCGGGTACTTGTTTCCGCTCATCTGAGAATTCAGTAAAATACAGTGGACGTATTTTCAAACCCAACTCAAAATTATTGGGAATAAAAGGAAATATTGTTAATTTTTTGATCAAATTAGATTGTTTTCAATTTCCAATTTTACCCTTGTTCATTCTGGCTTTTTCTGCGAGCGGAAAATAGGAATTCACTAATTATGATTTCAACTTCAAACAATATAATTTCACTCGAATGAGCTTTTTTTTTAGATAATTCCATTAGTTCAAAAAGTTCTGTGTGACATTTTGACGAGGAAACGTGGTTTTGAGATGCTTTAATTCTTACCACTTCTGACTGATAGCGGTCCATTTTCTTTGACTAGACTCTCTCCATACATTAATACAGTCAACTTTGATAGACGGAACGAAATTCATTGTTTTGCAGTGTGCGTAACTGCGGGAGATAAGCTAATTCCCTACTTTCTCTAGTATGAAAATCATGCATTGCCATTGATCTATTGATTACATGGCTTTAGGTCATTGATCAAGGATTAAATGTGATAAACATATATTTTTTCAAACGCCGCGCAGTTTCAGTTTCCAAGATTCAATATTTTTGTCGCAGGCAATCAGCAATCGCTGGCAATATGCATCCATTTTAACCCGTCAGGTTGCAATAATTCACATCGACTTAATGAAGCTTTCGAGGGAAAGAGACTTCAAAAGCTCCCGCTCGGCCCAGGGCGCCTTCAGATTCCCCTGATACTCTCCGCTTTGCCACGCGGTGAGTTTAGTTGCCTATGTGAATACAACTCGACTAAGGTCGTTACAGATTTTACAACACGCACATGCAAAAGTGTTAGTAGGTACCGTGAATTTTAAGAGAGAAAAAACGCCTTTTCCATTCCGAGAATTAGGATTTGTATTCATCAGTAATTAAAATCAATGAATTATAATCTTGCTTCTATTATTAAAAATGTTTGCATGTTTCTATTGAACACAGATAGATTGCACTTTGCTGATGATGGTTAATTGCATGGGACATTTAAATTACGTGGGAACTGAATTCTACCGAATTTAAGTACATAGTTTATCAACTGGATAAGACCCCTGAAATGTTTTTTTTCTACTAAAGTTTCTTATATTTTGCGGTAATAAAGTGCAATTTCATCGATGGAACCGTCTACATCACGTTGCGTTGAGAGACAATTGGGCGAATTTAACTACAATCAGTCTTACTGATATTATTAATGTTGCGTAATTTCCCCTCGTCCTCGATTTTTTTCAAAGACAAGCAAACAACTTACTGAGTTGAAACTCTCGGCGAATTTTTTATGGATTCTAAAGAATAAGCTCATTTCAGAATGTTGCTTTGTTCGCTGCAGAAAAAATAAAACATGAGAACATAGAAGGCATCGTTTGATACAGTTAGACTAAATCTTGATAAAAATCCGTCCATTCATTAAAACAAGAAAATTACTTACATTGCTGTGAGGATACGCTGCACTTGATCTGAGTGAAAATCTACGTTTCCAAAGAATTCTTTGAAGTTCAGTCTACAGTTGAAAAAAAGTTTCATAACTTTTTTTGTCCGCTCGATGTCATTGCTGCAGCAGTGTAAGAATCTTTTGATCATCGCCTCCTCTGCACAAAAAAATATTTAATAAAATTAATTCTTAATTAAATAAAAACGGTTTGAATATTTGAATAAAAATGAGTATGAAAAGATGACTTTTTATCAATGATTCATATTTGATGCAAATTATGTCAAATGTATTCTCGAATCTGTTAACAGCCACGACCAAGATTGCTTGCGACTTTTACTAATAATGGACCACTAGACAAGGTACGAATTTAAGCATTCTAATACATGTTTCTTGACCAGAATTTCACGTAGAACACGATGCGCACAACGAAAATTACCGAAATCAACTCGTTATGAAGATATTTAATGATTCTTGATGCGTGAATTCAAACCACCCGCTCATGAAAACTCAATGCTCTACGTAACTCACATCGCGCGCTGAACGTTATCATGACAGTCTCTGCGATATAAAAATCTGGCAACCTTAATCTTGACGCTTTAGCTCAGCTATTGCAAGTTGTTTATAGTTTGAACAGCACATGGTGGGAAATGAACATAGCTTGATTGAGAAGTTTGCTGAAACCGTTCTAGTGCACGATTTGACTCACGTAGAGCTTTGAGTTTCTTGTGAGCGGGCAGTTCAAACTCCTCGTAACCAATGTGAAATATAAACGTTAATATCTTCGTTAGGAGTTGATTTTGGTAATTTTCGTCGCGCGAATCGTGTTCTACGTGAAATTCTGGTCAAGAAACATATATTAGAATGCTTAAATTCGTACCTTGTCTATTGGTCCATTGTTATGAAGAACTCAGTTCAGATTTTATTTTTCATATCAGATTAAATAAAGAAAAAGAAATAAAATTCGTCGCGCCCGTCAGTCAAAGGTAAATGAGGCCGATTTTTTAATGAAATCCTGCTTAAATAGCCTATTAAAATTGTCCTTTTTTTCGTGTACGTGGATTGAAAACGTCATTGAATAATTTCCCTGATGAAAATATCACATGGGGATTAAATGCGGTGCTCTTTCAAGATTGGGCCCAGTCTGTCGTTTCAAGCTGCTAATTAACGGATCATTTTGGGGAATTTCGGATTCGTCATAAAGTGACCAAACTATGTAAATGAGATGCAAAATGCAGCAAATTTGAGAAAAAAGGCGATTAAATCTCAGTATACAAATTTAGCACCGCTGCTTGCAGTAGTGAATGAAAATCTCACATCATCATGAGTATTCAAAACGTAAATCCCCGACTTCAAGAAAAATCCATTTTCCCCGGAATTCCATCTAAAAATATTTCTTACTTTCTAATGTGGCCAGTAACACACAACCCATAAGTTATGTGTATACTGAAAAGCTATATTGATGGTGAAACAACCAAACCACGAATCTCGATTGCGGCGTTAGGAAACTTTCTGCCCATATAATTTTTACTCTAGAAGATACTGCCCTATATTTTTGCACGAAAATTTCAGAGAATGTGGTTGAGGGAACGAGGTAAAATCATGCAAAATTTTGTGTAGGTGTACAACGTCGCAGGCTGAGATACGTGGTTTGGCACTTTCATCATCGGTGTGTACTCGTATGCAAAATACGGGCGCATCAATAACATTGACTGCAAGGTAGGGTGTTACGTTTTGTGCTGATGCAAAAATTACAAAAAATCTATAATTCATCTCTAATACGTTGAAAACTAAATGAGAACTCTCAGTACAGGACTAATGAGCCTGTAGAATAAAATTCAATCATTGCGGTCGTCCAATATATTTCTATTTAAAAATTTACGGAAATAATGAAACGGTCAGAGAAAATTTTAAAAATGTAATCATTAAGAGCAATCCATAAAATACCTAATGACGTCAGATACTCAAGGGGGAGGGAAGGGGTCTAGATCTTTCCGATAAACCTATTTGGACGTATTTTCTGCCGAACGGAACTACGTACATTATGACGTGAGCCCTGTTACGCCTACATTTTTAAAGGTCTGAAGGCTCATGTCTTAATGCACATAATTCCGTTTGGAAAAAATACGTCCATTTATGGAATAGAGGGGTGAGAAGAGAGGATGGAGAAGGAGGGGTTAGAATAATTGAAAATATTGTAAGTTGGCATTTGCCATCTCTGCACAAAAAAACTGAATAATACATAGGACCTGCGAAAATTGTTTTATCTGGACCGATGCCTCAATATTTATGGCTATTTACGTCTTAAATAAGGGAAGGGGGGAAAAAGAGAGGAATAAAAGAGGAGGAAAAATTATCACGTCTCAGTTATGTACTTTGAATAACAATGGTTGCATTTTTCTGGCCCAGCTACGTCATTCACTGCGCGGAGAGAAATATGGGCCAAAAATTTCTTCTAGAACGCGCAGTATTAAAGTGGGCGTTACGGAGTGATTCTTCGGAATTCGTTTCGCGCCACAGAAAATCCAATTGTGTAATACCTTCAAAAAAGCTTGGGCTCATTGTCAGGCTTCTATTGAACACGTTTAGCAAGCTTTTTTGCGTTTGTTATGTTCAGCGATGAATGAAAAAACAGTCAACACGGTGATCAAGGTCGATGAACCATCTGGTGAGGTCCGTGTAGCTCGTGTAGCATTTAGCCCAATATACACTATCGAACTTTTCATCCGACATGATTGAACGAAAAGTTGAATGGAAAGTTGAAAGCAAAAAAATTTGATTCGATTATTATTCGTTAAATTTGAAAGTTGAATGAAAAGTTGAATGTGACGTCACATTCAAGTTACCGTTCAATTATTCATCAAATTGTCTATTTCTCGGGAGAGTATCACACTATCCAACTTTTCATTCGACAAGTTACATTTAAGAGTTGAATGATGAGTTTGATAGTGTGAATTGGGCTTAATGTTGATGTAAACTTCATCGCTAGATCCGTGTAGGTGAGGCCAAAATCAAGCGACATTTGTTTAAAAATAAGAAAAATACTTTGGCTAAATTTTAGGGTGTTCTATTCGAGAGTTGTCAAATTTCCTCCGACAAAATGTTTAGTTTTGAGGAAAGGTATCAATATTTTTCCTTGGAATTTTTACACGATTTGGATTATATTACGACCGGAATTTTCGCTTCAAGGACTTTTTGTCCACCTACCTTTCGTCCATTAAATAAATGTCCACCGCTATTTATGTCCACTAAACGTTAATTCCAGTCTTTATAAAGTCTACATGATTTAATGTCCAACCATGAATAGGTCCAAAATTGTCCAAATTGTGGACATGTTACGTCCACATTTTTTTCTTCTCATTTAAATGACAGGAGCTACCTCAAAAATAAATGCATACTACTACTAGTTAGTTAGTTAGTATATTTTAAGACGTTCAACGTCACATGCTATTAACGTCTTTACAGAGAATTTTGACAATGAGAGTATATTATACGAAAATTTAGATTTTTAAATTAAGAGAGGTGAAGAGTTCCTTCATTCTTAAAAACATTTCATTCATGAATCAAGTCATGAAAGAGAACAGACTCTAAGAGCAGATAAAAACATATGTTCATGTGTACGCTGTGCGGATATGATAAGATGAAAACCAAAGCGGGAGCCTAGGAAACGCTCCAATGCCAAATTAAACATTTTTCAGTAACAGATGCTGTCAAAATTGAAAGTACTCTTTAACTAGTTATTTCGTGCGCCTTCAATCTTGTAGGATACTGTGCAACGCCTCTGACGCGAAATAGTTGCTTAAAGCGTTGCGGCGCGGCAGACAACCAGCGTGACACGCGCATAGGCGCCTACAAACCTAACGGGATACTTCACGCGTCGCGCAATGCGTGAAGTATCCTGTTAGGTTTGTAGGCGCCAGAGCGCATTCTGCGCTGCTATCACGCCGCTCCGCTGTGTTTGGCTCTAATACTTAAACTCTCGGAGTCAGCGTTTTTCAACTCATGATTTTGAAATTTTTGCCCTCTCTGCATTGATTATTCCCTATTAAACTGATGCAAAAGAAATTGTACTACTGGAAAATATAATGTGTTATTTGTAAATATATGACGCTTGAATTTGATTTTAGTGGACTTTATATTTATGGACTTAACTTACAAAGTTGACTTTTACGTAATGGACTTAACAATAGTGTGGGCTTTAGAACTGTGGACGTAAAAATCGTGGACGAAAAGTCTGTGGACGTAAAAAAAGTGGACATAAAGTCCGTGTACCGAATTTTCTGAAAAATAGGAAGAAAAATGTTTATAAATATTCCGATTAATTCGTGATTCATCAAAGGAAACTTGGCAACGCCTAAAGGCTCATACGGCGTTTTTCCTTAGCACGGCAGTATAGAAAGCGTATTTAAAGCGTGCATTTACTAAGTGTAAGCATTTAGTACAATTTTTTAATTTCCCCGCGAAAGGACGATTTTTGAGCTGAATTTGAGCGCTTTTTGTCCCAAAATACTCGTTGAACCACTCTCATGTGCACAATGCACTGGTATCGATGACTAAAATTCGAGTTTTTGCCCACCAAGACGCCTTTTTTTTGTAAAGGGTCGCATTATCACATGAGTCCTGAGAAGCATTAAGTTGCATTAACAACAGGGCTCATCTCAATACCTAATCTACTATGTGGTCACATCGGCGGAAATATATAAGAGGAAACTCCTTTTCTAAAATTTGTTTTAGCCCCTTCAACTTTCCCTTTATCTGAAAATCGCTAATGATATCAAAGCTTCGGCGAAAAAGCGCTGAGAGAAAAGCGGATATTCTGGAAAAAATGCGGAATTTTCGCATGCGGGAGAAAAGTGACTGCCTTTCTCTTCTTTTCAAACCGCTGGAGAGCGATCGTAATTTTTTAGAGGGTTGAAAATAATTTGAAAATACTTATTTGTTTTCTTGATTAGTTAGGTTCAAATAAGGGTGACAATTTGCACAATCGCTATCGAAAAACCAGTTACACATTTTTCAATGTAAACTTGGAATTTTGGGTCTGTGCTCTAAATATTCTCCGTTAATAAAAAGCTGCAAGCAACTGCAGTGTGATCATGTTAAATGAAAAATGACATGTTCGTAAATTTATCTATGATTTCAGAGAAATTTGATAAAAATTAATAATAAACACTCGTAAATATGATAAGTGGTTGGTTTATCTTCACTGGGTCACGCAAGACCATCAAGGTCAGGTGTTTCCGGAGACTTTTCCCAACTACGCAGTATTTCCTTAAAATTATATAATTAATAATTAACATTTTAAAATTCAGACAGACGCCTACAGCACGATAATTCTAACACAGATCGTGAAAAAAGAACCACTCACAATCTTACCCTCAAATTTCATCAGGGAATGTTGTTTTCCCATCTTTTGTAGAGTGAAATAATGGGTATCGCAGTGCAGTTCACGTTTTAATTGGCTCAAATTTTATTTTATTTTTAGCGGGATCGTAAAATTAGACAATTAATTCTCTCAAATGATGAAAGATACGCCTGATAAGTTTATAGCGCGTAGTTAATTTACTCGATTAGATAGCCTTTTGATCTCGATGGCAAAATCGATGTTTTCTTATAGGGCGCTGCTCTGCTAAACTTTGACTCACTGAGAGAAAAGTTGTTTCCGATGAAGAAAAAGGATCTGGTAAATATATGTGATTAAGTCAAGAGCTTATTAGGGGGAAATTAATAAAAAAGATAGCTCCACTACATCTCTGCGTCCATCCTGCATGAATCCTTTCGGCATTTTGAATTTCAACATACATTTTAAATGAATACGAGGAAAATAATTTCAGAATTGAGGGAACTGAAGACGGATTTACTGGGAGGATTAGATACTCGTCAGAACAAGGATTAAAAGTTTTAAAGGCTTAAATTTCAGCAAAAATTTCTTACCGAAGTCACCCGGCAAGTTGGGCTCTTCCTCGAGCCATTTCCTGATAATTGCGACATGTTCATCCGTGTAATTTATCATTTCTCCGGAGCAAACCTGAGACGGCTGAAACACACAAGACACAAAACTGTCAGAAACAAGCGGAATTTATCAATTCTTAAAATCAGATTCACATTAAAATTTTTATCTCACTTTCCATGCGGCATTGAATTAAATTTAATTTCATAATGCGGTACAGACACAATTAAACGCAAATTGCAAGAGAAGTTGGACGGAAACTTGAATAAGACGTCACGTTCAAGTTCTTGACAACTTCCTGTCCAGTTACCGGTGTCGATCAGATGAAAAGTTGTTTTAAAAATAGCCTCCAACTTCATATGATCAAATAAATTTGAATACATTTTATTGAATCAGAAATTTAATCGTGAGCAAGTAAAGAGAAATCAATCAGTATGAAAGGTTTTGACGCTAATGTGATTGCATGTTTAAGATGCGCCAAGGAATGGATGGGTGGAGTAGAGGGTCATCGAAATTTTCAGTGGGAATACATTGATTACCGGGCACTTCATGTATCAGAATCCTTAATACCTTAAGTTGGTTCAAATAATTTTACTCTCACGCAGACTTCAAATCAACCATTTCCATGAGGAAGCATTGCATGTACATCATACAATGTATGCGTACAAATGAAATACCTACACAAGTCATGCATAGTTCATATTTTTCAAAAAATTAAGATACCTCATCGAGGCTCTTTCTCGTGGTTTTTTTAACATCTCGTTGTAGAATACCTTCAAAATCTGAATTTTTGTATTCAAGTTTAAAAGCACTACATTGTCATTTAATTTCGTCAGTGAGGAATAAAAAAATCAAGAAACATATCCACTAAAAATCCATTAAGTTTGATTTTTTCCCCTTTTAATTCTACAAATTCAAATTGTTAAAAATATATATGATTTTTGCTGACGGAGGAGATAATCGCAGTACATATCGACGGCGTAAGTCCGCAACCACGTATCTCGGTTTGCATCGTCACAGATTTCCAGTTATACTTTATTTTTTGAATGAAAAACCAAACCACTCGATGGCAATTCCTAAAAACTACCGTGATTTTTCTTCTCAGTGTCAGGAAAATTCTGCAAAAACTGCAAGGAATGATGTCGATTTGTTCTCCTTTAAAAAAATAATATAGGAGCGGAGATTTTCAAACACCGCAAAAGAGATACATGCCACCTGGTTGCGGACTTACGCCGTCGATATGCGACAAACAACACGAACATTTCAGCAACTTGAAATTTTTTGACGACCCTGGGTTACCGAATCTTCGTATTACGTAACCAAGCCAAAAGCTTTTAAGCCTTTGAGGCGGTTCGAAAATTACCACTTGTCGCTAACCTGTCGTCAAGTAAAGGAAAACCGACGGATAAGCTGCAAGGTCAATCAAAAAAATTTCGAGATTAAAGATCCAAAAATTATCATGTCAGATGAAGCATCACCATAACCGAATAGGTCTGAATAGGACAGATATCCTCCAGCGAGTTTGGTCTCAATAGGGTAGAGTAATCAAACATCGCCAAACAAAAAAATGAGGAACTAAAAAATGGAAACTCAAATTTTGAGTTAAGCTGTTTTTGGGCTCGTGAGACCGTGGCCATTTTGAAGCGGGGCTATAATTTGCCTCTTCCTGTTTCAAATTATTCGCGTAATTACGTGTCACAGGATTTAAAAATATAACAGGGAAAATCTCTCTGAAAAATAAGATTTGTTAGATACATTTCCTCGAGGAAATCGCAGAGACGTAAGCACCAGAGATCACAAAATCTGACCCCGAGATGTCAACTAGGTGTATCATTATCCTCTCCTTTTCCCGAAAAATGATGTGGTTTTAGGGGGGGGGCGGGGGGCTGTGGCTTAAGTTATTACAGCACGAATAGCGCAAAGCAATGACTCTTATATTTACGGAACAAAGCAAACTTTTTATATTTCGTCAAATCGTCACCTTCCGGCCAAAGTATCCCTAGCGCCATGCGACGTTTAGAAATTTCCGACGCCACTTAATTTTTTTACAGAGAAATTGCTCAACGAAGCCGTCCGAAAATTTCACTGAATTTTCTTTGTGCTGCCGATAAAAAACATTGAAATTTTTCAACAGATTCAACCAACAATTTCCCTGTAAAAAAATGAAATGGCGGCGGAAACGTTTAAACGTCGCATGGCGCACTTGTGATACTTCGGCCGAAAAATGACGGAATCATGAATTTTTGCAACTAGCAAAATTTGTCTGCTTAGTTCAAATAATTTTGATTTCACGTTTTTGAGAAATATAATTTTCAAAATTCAAATTTTGTAGATAACCGTAGCTGGTAAAAAAAACATTCTAAATTAAAACCTTCGTGTAGATTAACGAAAAATTGTTCCTTTGCTTGTAAACAAGTAGGTTTCTTAAGGCGCAGTATTCACGTATGGCCATCGCGATGTTGACGTGAAAAAGTGCACGCATTCGCATTTGCTTTTTATGCCAAACGTTGCCAGAATTTCGCATGGTAGTCTTCTTCATTTACATTCATATGCAAGAAAAATCTGCAGTATTCGGTAACTTGACAACATCGATCATGCTCGCTCAGTTACAGCAAGTATGCAACGCACTGCAACTCCGCCTATAAAAAAGGCCTTGCGGAAAAAACGCGTTCATTGAGCTAGTTGTAGTCGCGTTGAAATGCACAACGTTGCCATATACTAGGTGAACAAAATGCGATGATATAGTATTAGTATGTACTATAGTGAATTAGTTTGCTCCCGGGTACTTTTATTTTCAATTCAAACCACAATTAATTTACAGTCAAGATCATCCTTTAAACGACTGGCGTGACAAGACGCTCACTATTATGCGTAAGTTGGATGCGTTCTAAGCGTTCCTACCCAGTGGGTATTGCAACTGATTTTTCTAGAGAAAAGATATGAGTTTGCGTTGGGTGAAACAGAAATTTAAGACGTGCCACCATGTCACTCCAGGTGCCACACCATATCTCATTGCTATACGATAATGAAAATAGCGTAGATCACATCGCTTTGGAGAACATTTCGCCGACATTTTGCAATTAGGGGCTGAAATTTCTAGCTCACAATCAGTTTAAAAACAACCACCAGTACCAGCGTGTACCATTAGTTCCCTGGTAAAAATTGGCAGTAGAATCTGTGTTCCAAAATACCATAGACCTACGGCCGGCTGTAAGATTTCCAATAGCTTCTATAGCCGGCTACACAATTTCTTATAGCCTTTTATAGCCGATGGCGATTAAGCATAACTCACAGCCAGGCGATAAAGTGTATGCTAAACGTCACTAATTACGGATGCTAGGACTTAGTGAGTTTTTGGACCACTGCTCTCTTTTTGGGCCGTAGTATCTTGATTTATTTTGCGAGGAAAGCTCCGTACTTTTGATGGATGCCTGCCATTCCTAATATATTAGAGCGCCTTCAGTTTCGTATGATACTGTGCAATACCTCTGGTGTGAAATAGTTGCTTCAAGCGTCCTAGCACGCTGCGGTGCAGCAGGCGGGCAGCGGCAGCCAGCGCGAAACGCGCATTGGCGCCTACAAACCTAACAGGGATACTTCACGCATTGCGCAATGCGTGAAGTATCCCTGTTAGGTTTGTAGGCGCTAGTGCGTCGCCGCTCCGCTTTGTGTTAGGCTCTAATATTTAATCTCGCGGAGTCAGCGTTATTCAACTCATGATTTTGAAATGTTTGCACATCCTGTATGGATTATTATTCTCGTTTTAACTGACGAAAAAAATATATGTATTAAAGGAAAATATAACGTGTATTTTGTAAATATTAAGGTGGTTCCGTATCAAACTTAATGATTTCCAAAGCACACGAATTTCTACACAATTTCTTATAGCCTTTTATAATCGATGGCGAAAAAGCAACAGCCAGGCGATAAAGTGTAAAGCCCGGCTATAGGAACTATAGCCCGGCTGCATAATTTTTTATCGCTTCGTATAGCCCGGCCGTATGATTTTCTCCGCATTCTACAGCCAGCTATATGATTTTCTGTAGCTTTTTTTAGCCGGCTATAAGAATTCCTATGGTATTTTGAAACGCAGCTCTTATCGCCAATTTTTACCAGGGTTTCCCTACGCACTTAAGTGTTTTTATAAACGAACTAGAAATTGTAGTTCCAAATTGCAAAATTATGTCCATTTGAGAGCAAGGGTGGCTAAGAATTTTTTTGTCGTAACCAATTTGAACAGATAAGTTAGAAGTTCATTTTTAAGACTCTTATTGTTCTTTTTCGAGAAAAATATATCCTGATTGTAGTGAGATTGGAAGACTTCCTAATACAGAAATGTAAATTTTAATGTTCGTCTAATGCTGACTAATCAACAATATATTGCCAAGGTGGTTTCTGCCCGATGAAGACTGACTGATTATGTTGGCGGAAATTTCTTAAGAGTTTTTCCCTGTAATGCAATTCATAGAAAGTGGGTTTTTAGAGTTGACTCACAGAAAATGGTATTTCAAGAGAGAGAAAAAGAAACTCTGGAATGGAACAGCGCCTCAGGACATGTTTGGTGCAATTGTCTCCTCCACTTCATCCAATGACCAGAGGAAATTTTTGTCAAAGAGGCTGAGGTCACTTCGATATGATCAGAGAAAAGCTATCCAGTTAGATAGGTGGGAATTCCAACTACAATGTTTAGCGACTGAGACTCATAGCTGTCTCCAAATAAAACTTCCCGATGCAAAATATTACCTACCCACAGTTGTTTAATTCCGCACCAACTCGTTATCGATCGAAACTCGTTTTGTGCGAAATGTGAACTCATGTAGAAAAGCAATCTGAGTCGATCAGCGGATAAAGAAAACTAGACGAACATTACTTAAAAGATTATAAATTAGGCATGGTATGTGCGATGTATGAAAATTAGAACCATTTCAATATTTGTTAGAAATAAATCTGATTTATGCGATCATTATTACTGTTCGCGTTTAAATTCATAAACCCGCCTTGATGGACATATCTTTTCTTGGAACTCCGCCAACTTTAATTTTTATGAGTTTGAGTTACAGAAGCAAATATTATAAATATAAACTTTC